TCCAACAGAAAACTACTTTTCATCATTACAGATGTGTTTGATTTACACCAACGATGTAGTGTTAAAAAGCTTCATATACTATTATGATTCTTTTGAGCTATCCAGTTTCACTGTGATGCTTGTTTGAAGAGGTTTTGCCAGTGCCATATTTTAGATTAATAAAATAATTGACGTTTCAGTGTGCATCCACTTTAATTTTTTCAAAGTAAGAAAAAAATATAGTATCCATATTAACACTGAAGGTCAGGGGAAGTGAGGAATACAAAATGTATACAAAATTTACCAAAAGTCTCATGAATCAGAATATTATTATAGTTACAGAATCCTGTGCCCAGTAACAACATACAGTACCATGACAATTGTACAAAAACAGTATATTGGCCAACACTGATTGTAGCTACTTTAGACTGTCACCTATTCTACTTCTGTAAATCTACAGTCAGTATAGTTTCTTTGAGTTGAAATGATCACCACATTAAAAAATATTTAGCACTTGATTCTCCTTTTATACTTCTCCATGGGCTTTGGTGTAGTTACTTCTGGCTTACAACCAGTGGAACAGAACAGTCATCCTAGAAATGCTTTCTTTTATCTGTGGAATAGTTTTAAATAGAGGGTGCACATTTTTTAACACTATTATCACTCGTATGAAGTGCTATGCCACATTACAAGCCCACTGTAAACTGAAATTAAATACTTAATATAATAGAATATTTAAACACCATGACCCACATGCATAATTTTATCACACAAAAAGGAGCAAATGGAAGAGACATCTTAATATATAGCATACAGCTGGGGCTAATTTCTGACATCAGTTACTCTCATGTAACACCACTAACTTTTTCTGGGTTTACGCCAGTATAACTAAAGGCTCAATTTGGCCCTTTGTTTACAAAAAAGGGCTGAAAGCACCCCTCCCCCTCCAGCGTGTCACACCCATTTTGTTCTTTCAGGGTGTATGCTATTTGGAGAATGAAAGGCAGGTGAAAAACTGCTTTAGTCTTATGAAAAAAATGGTTCAGAGTGGTTTTAAGTCAGATCTTGAGGACTGACACGTGTAATGCTGCATGAATTCCACTGAAGCCAATTGTATCACAATTAGCAACAAGGAAAGCATGATTGGCATTTCATCTTTTATTTAACTGTTCAAATATGTTTTTTATTACTGGTCATAAAACAATGCAAGACAAACATATTTCTAGGGCTTTCTAGATTTCCTTTTGAAAAGGGGTCAAGTGCTCTCAAGATCCTGATTCAGAGAGGTACACAGGCAAGTGAATAATTTCAGGAGGCAGATAAGGTAACTCACACATGTCAGCATAGGTGCACATTAAAATACCTTCCTGATCTGGAATATCTGAGATCCTGAAGAGCTTGACCTGCCTAATAAACAGCTATTTGGTGGATCATAGACATTTCAGTCTGGCAGGCTATGCAGTGACAGTGTCTGGGGCCACGTGTCCAGGGGAAGTGACATTCAGACAGCCAGCCTGGAGGTCTGGGACCTCCTTTGCACTTATGGCCCTAGATGTAGCATTTCATATGTGGAAGCTTAGGAGGGGGACAGAAATTATTCCCTCTTGAAGAAACAAACCTGAATCCAATTTTGGCTACCCCTCGTTGATCAAAACCTAAAGTTGTAACGTGGGAATCAACTCTCCTGCATTAGCGAGTTTCCCAATACTGGAGTGGGTGTCTAAGGGAAAGATTACAGGAACTCCCAGATATTTGTCTTGAAGCTAGATTTTCCTCAAAGGAAGTGCTTTTGTAGCCACAATGGTGAGAAGCAAGGTTATTTTTGGTGATACCTTTGTTGAACCAACTGTGTAGTTGGGAAAAAGATGTTAAGCTTTCAGGCATAAAGTGCCCTTCAGGTGAAGTAACAATTGGTCCAATAAAAAGCATTTCCAAAGAAAAACTTTGTTTTTCTTTAAAGGACCACTGTCATGCTTAAAAAAAAATCCTCCCCTATGTTACTAAGGATGTTTAGATTATTAAAAACTTTATGGGTGTTTTTTTAATCTTTTATTTCTCAAAAAGGAGAATAAAACTACATCCTGCTTGGTCTCACTGTCTGGAAACAATATGCTTTTTCGTATTCTGCATATAATTTTGTGAAAGGAATGTGTTCCTTAGCAATTTCCCTAAAGAGATTTCAAACCAGGAAGCATCAATATATGACAACAGCACCGTGGGGAGGGTATGTGGTCTGTTTAGTAAAAACATTATATGTTGTTAATGTACTAGTGAAAGGAACAAAGAGCCAAATTCAACCCTGCTGTAAGCAGCTGCAATTCTGCTGACCTTCCCAGGGGGCTGAATTAGGGCAGTATTTTAGTGCATTAGGTGCTCTTTGTGCAACACTTGGCATTTCTCTGTATGCCTTGATGAATTGTATCCTCCAGTTTATGCTTTTCTGCCAGAATTCTAACAACTATCTCATCCCAACCTGATGGTGAAGGAGAGTTTACCCAAGTAATCTTGTGTGCATCCCTTTAATCCAAGCACCTTATTTCCTTAACTCTCACTGACCTTTTGTTGTTGTAAAATAAAACTCTACCAAGTCAACTGGAATGCAAAACAAGTATTTCTAGCAATCTGGTGGGTAATTACATCCAATGTCTTTGCGGTGGGAGGGATCCTTCTCTAGGAACACTTATTCCAGAGAACAGCCATAGGGAACCATCATTCATGAAAAAAGGTCCAGAGGTATATTTTTCTTGCTGCATAATCATCGTACACTGGCAATCATGACCTCAGTGCAGGGCATTTTCTGACTCGGGGATGGGATTTTATATCTTTGAATGTGTGCCTGAAGGTGGCAGTTCTATACACAGAAAAAAGTAAGGTGAAAATAATGAGTTGCTGTGATCCCTAGCTGTTCTCTGGGCCTTCAGCTTCTCACCGCCTTTTGCTGTTAACCCTTTCATTCCTGAATTGTTTGCATTCATAAAAACATGCCACCTTAGTGGCTCGTAGAGACCTCGACTCAACAATCAATTCTCAATCAGGAAATGACATGCTTAATTTTAGGAGTGCACTTAAAATCTATGACTTAATGCAGGGGTGGTCCACTTATAGCACATGTTCCAGAAGTGGCGCAGGCAGACTCTGCCTGTGGCATACTGCAGACCAGGGAGAGGACAGGCAGCACAGTGGCAGATAGGACAAGGAGCAGAAAAGAGAGCAGCAGGTTGGGTGGGGAGTACAGTGAAGGAAGCAGAAAGTAAAGTAGCAGATCAGAGAGGGAGCACAGGTCTGGAAGCACAAAGCAGAGCATCTGATTGGGCAGGGGAAGGCAGTCAGGGAGGATGTGGGGCTAATTTGTGGCACGCTTGTCAAAAGGTTGGCCCCGACTGACTCAGTGGGACTTGACAGGTAGGGACAGACATTAAAAAAGCCTGAGCCTGAATTGATTTAATCTTTGCAGGTTAGTCTAACCTGGCTAGGCTAAATCAGTTTGTAACCAAACAAGCATCCCAGATATGCAGGCACATGCCTGCAGTGGCCAGGCCAGAAGCTGGGGGGCTCTAAAGCAGCTCTCCCTTCCCTTCCAGTTGCTGAGCTGAGAGGGGTGTGGCCAGGCCCAGCAGGATGCTATGATTATTAGGAGGGGTTCCTCCACTCCTCAACAGCTCAGCTGGGGATGTTTATCACCCCTGACTCAGTGCTTATCACCCCATTAAGTAAACAGAGGGACATTACCAGCTATCTGTTGATTCTGCCTTTGTCCCATGTGCCGCAGCTCGGAGGTAGCCAGCATGTGGTCTGCTAGCTAATGCTGAGAGGTGTCTGTGAGGGAGGGGGAATGCCTGCTTAGCAGAGAATGGGAGGGCAGAAGCCAGGCAGATGCCTGCAGAGACTGCTGGAGCTGCAGCCAGGGAGCAGAAGGGAGGAGCCAGCCCTGCTGTGGAGCAGAGAGACCTGCCCAACCCAGAGAGCATGCCAGGATGTTGGTGGAGTCTGATTTAACTTAAACCAGCAAGGGGTCTGGGACAGACATTGCATAAACCGGTTTGAGGCAAATCAGTTAAGTCTGATACTGAATTCAAGCAGGTTTATCTCAAACTGCTTTCAGCCATTCTCGAACTGGGTTATGTGTACTGAACATTTGTTCTGTTACAAGTTTAAACCATTTTCTGATCACTTAAACTGGTTTATGTGTAATGTCTGTCCCTAACCAAGAAGTGCTTAAAGGCAAGCAACAGCTTAAATATTTTAGGATGGGCTTAAGCATGTATTTAAATACTTTGCTGGACAAGAATCAGAGACATGTACAAGCTAGCAGTTTGCAGACAGGAGTTCTTCTGATATAAATCCTGGCTATGGCCTTAGGTAAATCACAGACAGCCATATTTTCAGGAGTGTTCACTTGGTTTTTGGGTGCCCAAATTGGGATACCTTGTCCTTAATTTTTAGAGGTCCTGAGCACCTGTAGCTTCTAGAGGGCACTCAAAACATGAGTCACCCAACTTTAGAAAATACTTCTGAAACAAACATGGCCCTTTACTACTCTGCCTTAATGGTATCTGATTATGCTACAAGTCTACCTGCCTCTTGGGATAAAGGGGCTGTATGTGTTAATTATGTACTGTTTATATAGTTTCTAGAACATGGAAAGTGCTATAAAAATGTTAGCTGTCATTCTTGGAATTAATAATTGTTTATAGTATATACATGCTCCGGGAATGGGGCGGAGAGGGGAGGAAGCGCTTTAATTAGAGCGGCTCTGAGACCCACTCTAATTAAAGCACCCAGAGTGTCAGGTGTATCAGCATCCCTGCCCTAAAAAATGGCTGCAGGGGTGCTTTAACTAAAGCTCATTGAACGAGCTTTAGTTAAAGTGCCCCCACTGCTATTTTACAGCATGGGGACACTGATACATGTGACGCTGGAATCTGTTGAAGTATGGTAATTACCATGCTTCAGCAGACTCAATTAATCGAGTAATTACAGCACATTGGAGCATCCTCCCTGCATGTGTATAGGCTCCCAAAGTTACAAGTGTGTTTTAATGTTCTTGTATTTAAATGTTTAAATAGTAAATATTATTTCAACATTATAAAAATAGTGTTTAAGTGGTTAAACATTAAATTAGGTTTAAATTGTTAAACATTAAATTATGTTTAGATGGTTACATATTAAAATGTATTGTCATTTTTACAATTTCCAAATACCAAGAACTACTAGCACTGAGGTAGCTATTTTGCTTAAACAACACAAGAAGATAAACTTTCTGGTAAAATCTTAATTCAAGATTATTCCTGAATGTCAATATTAAGTGGCAAGCCATTATTTATATTCTGTCTAATCCCTGTTAAAACTCAATGGCTGCACAAGGCCTTGTAGTACAAGAAATCCACAGGGATATTCTCAATGGGAAAAACTAAAAATACCTGCATGCTAATTATGTAAAATTATTATTATTATCATCTTCCCATTATATATACCGTACGTGATGTGAAAAATATAGCTGAACTTTGTGATGAAACTGTTGTCCAGGGGAATAAAGTGATCTGGAACCCAACTTCCTATTTTACCTTCTTATGATTAAACAGTCAATAATCTGAGCTACCAGCTAAAGTGAATTTAATTTGGATGCTGCAAATCTGAAAAATAGGGTCAGATTCTGTGCCTTAGTTAAATGCAGGCTCCTGTCATTTGAAATTCTTCACAATAACACTGTGTATAAGTAGCCATTTTCACAGGCTCAAATCACAGCAGTCATCCCCTGTGCTAAGGTATAAACGACTTTCTCAGGGGCCAGAAAGTAAGCTCCATAATGCCTTATAGAACACGGATTGTTTTCTTGCTTTCCTAGGAAATATCAGGCATGGGCCAATGATGATACTGGATTAGAAGGGCCAATTATTTGGTCCTTTCAGGTAAATCCTGTGTTTCTATGTATCGCATAGCAATTTTTTTAAAAAATGGCAAAAAGATATCTATTGCCCACTGAACAGTAAGTAAATACTACTCTAAAGCTCACGTGTATGTGTATACTTCGAAGAATCCAGGTATTTTCAAATGTTCTTGACTAAAACACTGCCATTAACCACTCTGAATACTTTGTCTCAAAATAATTGTAACAGTACTGGGTCCTAGCTAGTGGTTTCTTCTGTTTTAGTGCTCTTATCAAATATTCCCTTCATCAATGCTTTGCAGCTGAAGTCTTTGGCTAATGTGAGCCCTGCCGCCACGCCGCGTACCCACATTGCTGCCTGGTACTGTCTTCACAGGGAACAAAGATCCTGGTAAAGCATCTTCCCCGAACAGGCTGATTTTCACATCAGCTTCAATAGCTTTGGCTAAGCTAGATGCATAGCTCTCCAGTGATTTATGGACCTCAGCTTTTACATGAAGAACAGGATTCTTTGCAGCCTCTAAAGGAAAAACAAAGATATTGACACCACGGTATGTGATGGAAGTCATTCAGTGCCACAACCATGCCAGTGTCCACGGGCAAGTACTGCCTTTTAGTACTATAGAGATCATAGCTTCTACAAATGACCACAGCTACTACTAATACAGTAGAACTCAGATCACTAGTATCCAGGTGGTTCACAAATGGCTTAGCTCTTGGTAGGTTGCTGAATTAAATACGAGTCAAGTAGTTGTTTACTTGCTGCAGCTATTACTTCAAAAGGGCTGTTTCTCTACTCAACTGAGGCTCATCAGCAGGTTGTGTAGGGGTACCCTTCAAAATAGGAGCCTCATCAAACTGGAGGACCTCAGCAGTCCTGTGTACCTGTTTGTTGTTTATTACCCTGAGCTGGTTAGCAAACCCTCATCTTCACAAGAGGAGAGAGAGGGTTAGTCATGTTAGTCCGCAGTCAGGCAGAAGGCAAAGCTAGTGGCACTTTGGAGACTAACTTGTTTAGAGAGGCATAAACTTTTTGTAGGTGACAACCTACTTCAGCAGGTAAGGAACCAAAGCCTGTGTAGTATCTAGGTTCTACTGTAGTATTTTATGCTGCCACAGCACCTTTTATCCAAGGACCTCAAAGTGCTCCATGAACAGTACATTTCACACACCCCTGTGTCAGGCAGTGAAATCCCCATCTGAGAACTAAGGCTTTATGAAGCAAAGCACGCTTACATTAATATCAGTGGGACTACCTGCATGCTTAAAGTTAAGCAGATGTTCACTGCTACACAGAATCAGGATCACAGAAGAGTTTATTGAATTGATTTTGTACCCATTAAAGTGAGTGGCAAAACATATGCTTATAATATTGGCTGCAGAATTAGGCCCTATAAAAATCACACGTCCACAGCAAGGAATAAATAGCAGAGCCAGAAAAAGAACTATTAAGTACTGACAAGCAGTCCCCTTGTTTTAACCACTGGTTTGCCACCTAAGGGCCATGTCAGGAGGTATAGCCTTCAGGAGCTGAAACATTAGCTGCTGGTGAGCAGCAGTTTATAGGCTGCCTGACTGGCAGGCTGGAGGTCAGCTGCAATGGATGATGAGCAGGGATCCTGGCCTCCTCTGATAAAAAAAAAAAAAATCCAAAATTTTCTGATTAAAAAAAACAACTCTCCAAGATTAAAATGAAATGCCACTACACACACACGCGCACACAGGAAAATGTGGATTTTGGAAGGGTTTTTTTTTTAATCAGAAAATTTGCTGCGGGGGGTGGTTAATCAGAGAAAACCAGGATCCCTGATGATGAGTAAAGGAGGATGGAGCCACAAAGAGAGTTAAAACCTCTAGGAGCAGAGTGCAAAGGGTAGAGGGAGGAATTTTGTGGTGCTGAGTGAGAAGCATGGAGCCTGGGTTGTCCTTTCAGGGCACTGGCGATGCATTGGGAGTGGGCATTTGCTTGGGATGGTTTGGGCAGTGATGATCCTGCCTCAGGCAGGGGGTTGGACTGGGTAGCCTCCAGAGGTCTCTTCCAGCCCTGCTTCTCTATGATTCTGTAATGATTTTATGAAGGGAGAATGCTGTAGAGATGGTCTCCTATTAGACTTCATTATTTTTATGTATTACAGCATGCATGTAGAGAAGATTCTCAGATACTAATGGTAATAATAATACTAGTCAAATGTAATTCAAAAAGTGGTATTCGTGAAGTATTACCCTTGCTTTCTTCAGATTTAATACATTTGGTAATTTACAATCAGCCTCTTATTAGCCTAAATTAGGCTAACTGACAATCTACACAAATTAAACTTTAGCTGTCAAAGAAGTTCTGTGCTCTGTGAAGAGGCAACTGGGTTTCAAAATGTGTGCTTTCACACAACTCGTTCCCAGAAATATGCTTTGCACCCCTGCAGCTAAACTGCTGTGTCATGAGCACCTTTGCAGCCACATAAGAATTAAGTACAGCTCTCAAGAGCTCCATATTGTCCCTTAGGCATAGTGGTAGCTAGACCAACCTAAACATTTGTTAGGAATTGCAAGCAATGTTTACTGGGATGGGAGTAGCACTTCCCTGCTGCTCACAGACCAACCAGTAGTGTCTGAACAGCAATGGGCGGAGAGATGCAGTCTGGATGGGGAAACAAATCTATTTGGGTTGCTGATATAACCACTGTGAAGCCACAGATGCAGCTCTGGGAAAAATGAGTGAATCTGCAATAAAGGATGGAGTAACCACAGGCCATCCAAAAAGGATCTGGAGGCATTGGAGGAAATAGTGGAGCATATGAGCACTCACTGCAAAGCAGATGGCAGCAGTACTTTCTGTGGACTGTGGTTTAGGAGAGGATTAGCATACCTTCGGAGGTGCACAGGACCAACCAAGTGCACAGCTTCAGTGGTTCTCATCACAGCCAAAACCTCCTACGCTTACCTTTGATTTGTTCCACTTCATCTTCAAATGTCACAGAACTCCTTCGTCGAGGAGGATAAATGCAGTGCGGGTGATGAACTCCATCTGAGCTGTAGTCTTCAAGCAGCATCACATCTGTACCTGCAAGGTCAGAGTTTTTTAAACAAAACTTACTTGCTTCCAAGGAAATGTTTGGAAATCATAACTCCCAAGAAGACCTACCTAAAATTAAAGAATGACAAAAACTTTTTTGTAGGCTTTAACCCTCACTTTAAAAGAGGCCTTAGCTCTGCAATTTCAACATCACTCTGTATTCAATGGCAGAGACCATTTAGATTGAATTAAATAGAAACAAATAAGAATACCTGGGGAATTTAGAAGCCCATTTGCAGCTGGGTATTCAAATCCTTAGGAGATTTCTTAGAGTGCACCTATCCTGCTTCTGTGGCAGTCCCAAAAGCACTGCTGAGAAGGCTGGTCCTACCCATCTGCTCTTGCATCATCCACTCCAAACCTGGAAATGAGGCTGTGAGGCTTCCCTAAGAGCATCTCCCACCCTAAGGGCATCTCTGTATCTGGTGTACTAGTGATAGTAGGAAAGGTCCTCAGGGTGGCTTAATTTCTGGGTTTTGTATATACAGAGCTGGAATGGGCAGGCGGGGCTTGCTTCTCAGTGATATTCTCAGGGGACCTACAAAGCAATATTGATAACCCAGGGTGCCATGAAGAGAAGGGTTTTCCTATCATCCTTATCACCTACTGCCATCAAAGCACCTGCCATAGCTTCCAAACTAGAATAAGGTTCCATTCAGGGAAAATCCCACTTTGCCAGCCTTCTGCTCTCAGTGTGTGAGTCACAGGCTGGAAGAGAACAATGCAGTTCATCAGCTAGTAGAGTGTCTTCTGCTGTCTGTATTGCTCCAAAGGATTGTAAATGGGGATTTTAGATGCTCCCCCTCCCCCCTCAGCTGGGAGTGAAAACTACTGCCAGAAAAATCCTGGCAGAGTCCCATGTGCATTTCCTGGTTATTTGAGCTAGACAGAAAGCTTCTGCCCTGTACAACAGACTCTAGAACAGAATGGCCAGATGAAACCTCTTACAAACACTTTGCTTGCTCAGCTCCTTGTAGGGACAAGGAAGGTCACTGAAGAGTACTAGAAAGAGAATAGAGTAATAGGACATGCTTTTAAGGGAAAGAAATTAGTCTGCTGGACTAAGCACAGCATAGACACAGCAAGCTCCACATAAAAGGAGAGGAGCAGCTAGGGCCGTTCTGCTGTGAGTACCATAGAGAGATGCTAAATGTTATTGTTCTCCTACCCAAAGACATTGCTATATAAATGCAGGCTACCCCACAGAATTCTGCAAAAGTGCAGGCAAACTTCTGTATCAGAAAGGAAAACAAGAGCGTTACCTGACTCCTGGGAGCAGCTGAAACCAGTGTCACCCGTGCTGCTGCTGTTTCCTAATGGCCGTCCACCAACCATGAGGGCTGTGAGATGGGGAGAGAGTCCCAGGTCTACAAAACAGTGTTAGCACTAATAAGTTGTGCAGATTGACTATAGCCATTGCATCATCAAACAACATCCATATTCTAGCACCAATTCCACCTGCTAGCTTTCCCATTTGTCCTTCTCCCAATGGCCATGTCATAAGACAGGCCCTGTTGCCACTCCTTCAGAAACCCAAGTCATCAGATACCAAATCAGTTTGTATTATTTCTACAGGGCAAGTACTTGCCTGCTCTCAGCACTTTGCAAATGTAAGCATTTTATTGGGAGACTGGGCTGAGCCAACAAACTCAAACGTTTAGCACTGCAAAAAATTGCCAGGTATTCTTCAGCCACAGAAGCTTCATGGAGCTATACAAGATCCTCATGAAAATGAGGTGCTCAGTTGTATGGCTCGGTAGCACTGAGCTAGCCGGCAACCTGGCCTTTTACAACCTGTTCTGGGAAGGAGGATATTCTGGGTTCTTATCTAGGTATTTTCTTTGGATCCAGTTCTGGGGCTTTCTTTTTTTCTATCAGCCTTTGGCTGGTAAATGGAGGATAAATTTGAAGCTGTCTCTTCCCCCCAAATAATACTTCCTATCCCTCCAGGGTCTTACTCTCAGAATTTCCTGGCTGAAGCAAATGCCATGCCCTCCCCTCAGTGTTCTGGGTTCTCCTTTCCTGTTTGGGGTCTCTTTTCCTCCAGTGTTGACCTGGGCACACAGCTCTCCCACCAAGGACTATGGGAGAGGCCCAATTCCTAGCAGTTTTAAAGGGTTCAGAATAATAGCTATGACTTCATTATTCTACAAGATAACTAATCTCTGAGGAACAGTAGAGGCAATGGAACTGTATGTCTGCAAACTAAGGAAATAAACTATTGGAACAGTTTGATTTAATTTACAAGATTCCCTTCATGACCACAAAGTTTAGAAACTATTAGAAAAAAAATAGCCCCTGGAAGATGTGAATTTTTCAGCTCTTGTACCTATTTTAATATACTACAGAACAGTTGATCTTCAGGAAGGGAAATATTATTGCAGCTCAGAGGGAGGTATAAGCTCTTCTGGCCAGAGAATTTGCAAGTTGGATATTTAATACTGAGAAGTTCTTCTTAGGCTTGATCCAAAGCCGGCTGAAATTAATGGAAAGATTCCCACTGATGTCAATGGATTTAGGGACAGACACATTAAGAAGAGGAAGAATGTTCTTGCTATTTCTAAACAGGCTGCAAGTTTTGAGCAGTTACTTACCATCTACAAACCCATTTTCCTTCCCTGTTACACCAGTACAAACATGACTGCTTGTCAGCAAAGATGCAGCTTGGCCTCTCAGGCCTTTCAGCATATAAAATATCTCTAAAACTAAAAAGAGTTAGAAATAGGGACTAGTCTTGGGAAGCTAATGGGCTTTCTCTAAGACCTGAATATAAAAGGACTTTGTGGAAGAATGAATTATTTCATTATTTAGCACCCACAAGACAACACTTGCACCCCATATAGCTTGACAATCCAAAAGGCAGACAGAAAGATGGTGGGATAGGCCTGGATATCTCCAGAGGGTAGTAAAAAATGTAGTTGCTTTTAAACATAAACTCACTGCATGTGGGTCTTGTGGGAGGATTTTAAAGGGACAGTTATTATATTTAAACTCTCACTTCTGTCTGCAGACGTTGTACCTTGGTGTTTTTACAAGGATCCCCTGAAATTACAATAACCGAAAGAAATTAAAGATTTTTTTTCATTTTGTTTACTATAAACATTCATTTCTAGTAACCTTCACTCTT